TGGGGCTATTCAAGGCTAGAGTGAATAGGCATTTTTTAGGCAAACGCATCCCATCGTCGGTCACATCGTCGCTTAACATCAGGTGAGATTGTGGCCAAGCGTGTGTCTATTATATATTAAAAAAAAAAGAAAAAAAGATGGCGCTACGACTAAAAAGTTTTGAAAAACCAAATACAAAGACACGTCAACAAGCACAAGAAAAATTCGTGAGGTCCGCTGATTCGTTCCGTGTCTAGGTTGGTATAGCGTCTGATACGGTATGCTAAAAGACGTCGGTTCGAATCCGGCCGGATTGAAGGAATTTCTTCTGAGTGTTCGATCTTTGTATTAATAATTATCCACTATTTATACACTGTTCCATCCATTTTTAAGTACTATATGTATTTATCTAGTTTATAACAGTTTAATGTTACATAAAATTTCCTTTTTTTTGGATGTAAGCCCGTTATTGCAGTTATTTTGTCCTGTATTTAGGTCTGCTGGAAGTAAAATTAATAACACAAACGCAATTACAGTCACAAACACCATCACCAAAAATATACTCGACACGTGTTTCGCCTCTCCATGGGGCATTCTCTCAAGAATAGACAGTTATCTGGTTTCGTTTTTTACATTTACTACTTTTACACTTACTTTTAATTTGTCTCTTTATCAGTGCCAAGTCCTTGTCTGAAGCAGAGTCCTTGTTTCTCAAATGCGGTGGAATGTATACGCCTTTGTCATCCTGTAACATATCGCCGCTTTTAAAAAATACTGGATCGAAGTCTTCAGCTAACCCAAAAAGATGCTAAAATTCCTAGAGGAACTAGAGTAACAGTAGGAGGACCCTGTACCCAAAACATGCAAAATTGGCGCTGCCATGTCGAGTTTCGGGAAACAGCCCGTTATACCATGTAATAGCCCAAACGAAAGTAGTTTCTTTTTTGATACTTATTACAATGGTCGAAAAAAGTGTTCCGCATATATAGATAAATGTACAGATATATCTACAAGGACCGACATAGAGTTGCTAAAATCACGGAATATTAATTATTTTTTTGAATGGATATAGTGGGATGTCCTGTAGGGAGGTTGGTGGACGACACTGTCAAAGTTGCGGGCAGTAGATGGGTGAGATTAGCACAGGCTCGTGGTGGATGGCACAAACTACGGGAGGCCTATACCCAGCAATTGGTGAAGTCGGGCTGTGGACGATGATGAAGATTTTTCGAATTCCGGATTACCGGAAATCAAAACTACTGACCCTGGAAGTCGAAATTGGATTTTAAAGTAATTTACTGGTGCCATGTAAAAAATACAGTAGATAACTGAACTTTTACCAAAACAGAAAATAACAACGTAACGAGAATAGTCACTCTCAGCCTCTCCCGAGCTTATACCGCACCCTGCACATTGAGGGAACGGCAACGAGGCATTAAAACCAAATCCGGAATTCGAACAAAGTAATTAATTACTATTTGGTGGTTTTAACAACTCCATGTCGATCCTTTTCGCTATAACTATATATGTGGAACACCTTTTTCCGATCATTGCTTGTTACATAGCTTATTGAGCATATGACAGCATGGGGCAGTATACTATCTGCTATGGTATTTTTTAAATCATCTTCCTGATGAGTTACGTGATTTCGATATAAGCCACTATTCTAGAAAGCCTGCATCACAGGCAGTAATGAAAGGTGCTACTGCAATTCTTCTGACATAAAACATACTTTCTTTAAAGTGTTTGTAATTATCATCCGATGTAATTTAAGTTTTTGAACATTGGGAATGTACTACCTTTATAACATTTCCTTCTTTATCTCTCTTCCGGCCATAAATATCTTCCCAAACATCAGGTTTTTCTTTCTTCTTACTATCATCATCATTGTTGTCACTTTCATCACCAGAAAAGTCACCATCATCAGACAAATGTGATATTTCATCATCACTAAATACTTTATTCAGATCATCTTCTGATATTATTTTCTCATTACTTGATTTGTTTTGTTTATTTTCATGTTTAGATTGTTTACTGTTGTTAAAGTCTTCTTTTGATTTACTTTTTCGAGATTTTGTTAGAGTTCCTGGAAAAAGTGGATGAAGCAAGCTTAAGTCTTTAGCTTAACATATCCCATAATCGTAAATTAAAAACATGATATATTTTTATTAACATCAATCGTTATTTTTACTAGGACTTACTAAACTATATTTTATAATGTTAACGTCAGTTTATGTCTTGGTATACATACCGTCTATGTCTCACACGTCTATGTGTCACAGTCACAAATATCAAGATAATTTACAGTAATATAAATGACAATACTGCCCTACTTTTCCTTTTAATAATTTACATTCTACCAAAATGTAAAATATAGATTTGAACAAAAAACTAACCTTCGGCTTCACCTTCAGAGTAGGAACTAACTTCAGAATCAATTTTCGACACACCCTTGTCAAATTCTGATCCATCATCATCAGAAGCTTCCTCAACGAGATCAGCATCACCACCACTCAGATCATCATTAGTTTCCTCAAGATCTTCACTAATGTCATCATTCAAATCTTCATTACCCTTTTCGCTGTCATAAATTTTTTGTTTATCTTTGCTTTTATTTAATTTCTTGCCAGTGACAGCGGCCAAGTCTTCTTCAAAGTCTGATTCTCCTTCCACATCAGCTAGATGCTTTTCTGCAGCAACTATTTCTTGTGTTGTAGTTCTGTCACATATCTCTAGTAGAACTGGATATGAGGTTAAGAAATATATGTAGCAAGTTATTCACAAAAAAGGCTTTTCATTAATTAGAAAAAGTATGAGTATAAAACTGACTGTTGAAAGTTAACTGCCTCCATGGCCGAACGGTTATCATGCTGGACTGCCATGCATGAGTTTGGATGTAATTTATGGTCTATGTGTGTGTCTGTGGCATCCGCGATACAGGGTTTCCCTAGTGCAGAGCTATGAGTGTGTACGTTATTATTATATATTATTATTTAATGAAGGAGGCACGGGAGCTGTTGTAATTATACCAAGCTGGTGACCGCACAGCTTGCTCTAATTACATGCTTTTTTATAGTATTGTGGTCACATCCTTTTTTTTTTTGACGGGGTAAATCTTTATGGATACCCCTAACATTTTAGTACCGAGAGATTATATTAAAGTCGAAACGTGTATTATATTGTTTTACCACAGACCATCATAATATTGTAATTTGGGCAGTGACTAAAAATTTATCCTGTATTATATGTAACATTATACATATATAGAAATTGAAACTATTTTTCCGGATTTAAATTGCGTATATTTGTTTTTAAACAAACGGACTTTTCGGGCCTTTTCAAGGTCCCATGGTCACGGTTGACTGGGACATTGGACCTGTAAAGGCCCCGAAACGTCGGTTTGTTTGAAAAACCAAATATACGCGATTTAAATCCGGAAAAATAGTTTCATTTCCTATGTGTAACAATCGCGAAAACCTAAGAACTCGATTATACATATATTCCAATTCTTACCACAACCATGTGTCTGGGAATATCTGTTCAATATTTTGGTATTACCTTATATTTATCTTAAATATGAGTATGGTTTAAATATGAGTAACTTTTAGTGTTCATATAATTATTAATACAAAGATCGAACACTCAGAAAAAATTCATTCGATCCGGTCAGATGGAATTTTTTCAGAGTGTTCGATCTTTGTATTAATAATTATAACAAACTAGTGGAGTAATTTCACAAAAATAATTGAATATCAATTCAATAAAAATTTAATTAACAAAGTGTTCATATGTTCACGTTGTTAACTGAAAAAAGAGATCATAGACACTGCTGTAAAGCTGATGGGACATCTCTGCACCTCCTAAGCTAATGTTGCCCTCTAAGGAGCTTACTAAAATCACTTCAGGGCAATCATGTGTCCCAGCTAGAGGAAATAAAAACAATTTAAGTTTATATTATAACAGATAATTGCCGTTTGCTATGATGAAGGCCCACACAGGCCCTGAACTAGCGGGCATAATATGTTCTTGTTTTTGTTGAATATAATTACTAGAATTTACATGGAATTAACTGTACTAGAGAATTGTAAATGGTTTTGTAAAAGGATACAGTCCAAACCATCATCAGCAAAATAGTTATTTTTATTTTTCGCCTTATTAAGTCCAAGCTGTTTTTCCAGTTTTTTAATAACTTTATCTTCGTCTTCGTTGGCTTTAACGAGCATTTTCCGTCTCTGTTCTTCCATTTCGGAATTAAGTTTTCTTACTTCTTTTTGGTCCTTTTGACGCTCGAGGGATAGGATGTCTTGAGCTGTGGGTTGAACCTTTTGTTTCTTTTTCTGAAAGAGATTTTGAAAAGTAATAAATAAAATGAAAATTAGAAATATGTCAACCACACCTAATAGATGGTTTTAAATTTACGATTTTTTGTACTCTGCATATTTGAGTAACGGTAATTACAGAGGTACCTAGAATATCGTTTTTAAAAAGTTTTTTTTGTAAATGATCAATTAAATTAAAGTTTGAATCAATATACAGATGGTTTGTTCTGTCTTTCTTGATTGAAATTTCCTACCTTCACTTGTGTGCTGGAATCTAGATCATCTGCAGGCCGTTTTACAAACCGTCCTGGAATGTGTTGATGTTTATCTTTGTCAGCTTTCTTCTTCAAATAATGCTCTTGCCGGTGTTGTTTTTTCGCTTGTCTCTTTTGTTTTCTGAGCACTTTACGGATGTTGGGAATGCTTGGACGAGGAGTTGCTTTATGCTTCTTCATCGTCTAACACGCATCTAAGTCACTTTTGAAATAAAATTGATAAATATTTAAAAAACTGAGCAATATGGGACCTTGTAGATTACGTTTCTCTATGTGATTCTCATTGTCATTACCTCATGGCCTCATTGCTCTGACTCTGTCAAAATGACAGCAAACCAGAGCAAACCGCATTTGTGTTCGTGCAGAAAAGGATTCAAAAATAATGTTTAATTTTACGCATTTGCACATGATGCGTATTGAAATCATCATTATATTGTTGTTTTTTACATGTTGATTTATGGTAATTTCATAACAATAATAATTTTAATAATTATTATTCCAATGTAAGTTATTTATACATATAGAAATGTCATTAATTTCATTTTAATCGTGTTTGAAAAACTCAGTGTTGCGTGAAACAAACCGTTAACATATGTCAGTAAAAAAATGTCTTTACGTCAAAAATTTACTCAAAAAAGAAGCGTGACTGCGAAGAATTTCTCGTGAAGAATATTCCTTAGAACTGCTCAAAACTGAAGAGCACACGTTTTAGCGCAGAAGCTTTTTGTTTTGTTTGTAATAATTAATATATTTCTTATCAGGCATGATGGTGGAAGGTTCGGCATTTACTCGAAACGATGTTTTTCAAATGGCTATACGTGTGGCTTTTGTGTCCGCCGTTACTTATTTCTCGATAAAATGGCTTGTGAATCAGATAGATCCGACGTCCAAGAGTCGAAAGAAGGCCGAGGAGCGAGCACGCGAGCAATTACGCAAGTAAGTATCGATCGTGTGCTACCAACTCCTGAATACTACTAACATGCTAACCCTTGAATGTGGTCATTTTTGTAGCGGTTCACGGTCTTGGCTGCATTGTCACAGGTTTTTTTGTACATGTGTTTGTGTGGAGGTTGTTTCATCACACTTTCATCAGAATTTCCTTTAATCACATCATCCATAGAGCCATTATGTAAAAATTTTAATATATTTACTCTACTACTCTCGTACTTTTACAAGATGACAATATTGTAAAGTAATAGAACTTCTGCCCTTAATATTAAATCTATGCAAGTGTTTAAATTGGTCTGGAAGGGGTAAAATTTAAATGTTGTCATACTGATGGCATACACTGCAATGCTTGCCATTATGATGAAGGGATTTGTGAATTGGCGTATGTTACACTCCATTTGTAGCCCAGGGTGTGCCAGAAAGTGTGCTGGAAAGGAGTGGTATGTGGTGTGGATAGGCACAGAAAAAAAGGCCCCTTTTGTGCACACCACACAAACTTTGATAATGTAGTAAGAAACTAGTCAACCAAAAGCACCAATTACCTGAAATTTTGAAACTGTTACTGAAATTTTGTACTGTTAGTGTATGATTAAACTTTTTTTTTATAATAGTGACACTGACCAAAAAGCTTAATAAGTGTCTTCACCTTAATAGATAATAAGAAAATTGCCAGTGGGTGAATTTCTAGTTTAGTTCATTTATTTGTTAGATTAAGTGAAATGTAAGTTACTTATTAGTCTTGTAATGTACTTTATTTGGGCCTTATAAATAAATGAACGACCGCGCGGCGACCACGCGATTGTATTATTCAGAGGAATTTAAATGTTGCCTAGTAAATAGAATTTAGATCTATCATTAATGTATGTGACAGCGTGGTACCTGGGCGGTCATCGCGTGGCCTTTCGCCTCATGCTTAGTCTATTAATTACCAATATCTGGTTGAAAACTGGGGAATTCCCTGTACTATGGGTATCAGTGCAAAATGATTCACTGTGATACATCTGGATCAGGACCAATTTGGAATATTTCATTACTCAAATTGTACCTACCGGGAATATGACCTTGACCCTCCTTGTCCAGTGCACACAGTGCAGACCATTGGTCTTTCTAAATAAGTATATGAACTATTTTACTCTGATTTTTTTGCCTTATATTTTGAATAATTCCCAGATTTTAGAAGGAGGTGTTATCCACTCTATGTGTATTGCTTGAAATTGAGGTTAATGTACTCTGCCTATTACAGTATCTGGTTATAACTGGCAGAAGCTGAGATATTCCTTGGATCATTTGCATCTGTTTTACATGGCAGTGGATTAGAATTATTGTAGCTAGGTCACAATAGGTCAATTACTGATCAACACCACGCCCGGCCGAAATGGTGTCCCAGGCAGGGCATGGGTGTTGGCTCTCCACGCTGGATTGGGGAACCGAATGGGATGGCTGTTCACCAGCTATCTCCGAAGCGGCGTGTTCCCGTTCGGTTGGAAGTCGGCGTGTTCCCGTCCGGCTGGAAGTCGGCGAGGATAGTCCTCATAAAGAAGGAAGGTCGACCTGCAGACTGTCCCTCTGCATATCGACCCATGTGCCTGCTGGACGAGGCTAGCAAGCTGTTCCAGGGAACATTTGCCGAGCCGTTCAGCGGGCATTTATCGCGAGTAGGGCCCGACCTGTCCGAAGACGGCGTCCGACAGGCGCGGTCGACTCTGGACGCGATCCTTCGCGTTCGCACACTGTCGTCAAAGGTACTGTCCCGGGGCGGAGTGGCGTTGGCGATAAGCCTGCACATCGTCACGGACAGCGGAAGTGCGTCACCGCGTTCCGGCTGACACAGATACTTACCGGGCACGGATGCTTCTGTGAGTATCTGAATCGGATCGGACGCGAGTCGATGACGCACCTCCTTCTGAAGCATCACCGCTTCACAGGAGACCACTGTGAGGCAGTGGTCTCCTGTGAAGCGGTGATGCTTCAGAAGGAGGTCGCCGAGCGTGATCGGGAGAGGGCCGATCCCGCTCGGCGGCGGCTTACCTTCGCGGCTGCGGGCGTTCCAGTAAGTAAGTTTGGCAGCCGCGACGAGGACGATGGGGCGGTGTTGCCCACTTCGCCGTAAGGAGGGGAAGGGGGAGGACGTACCTCCTCCTAGGTGCTGAGGGGGGTTCCGGTGCGCAAAGTCGATCCCGGATCCCTCCCATTATAGCACCCGAAAAGGCCACCGTGGGGCTTTAGCCAGTAGAAGTCCGGCAAAACCTCTCCGCTGCCCCCGCGGCCTAGAGGTCTCCCAGGAGGATTTCTCCACGAAAAAAAAGGTCAATTACTGGTCACGGGTTACTGGTTATGGATTTCCATTTCGGTAATTTAGTGGCTAAATCAAATACGCGTTAATGTTGTGGCAACCAAATTAGTATTTACGCGAATCTCTTGTCATCAATCTGTAGACAACATATATGAATGCTTACTGTGCAAAAATGAAAGTTGTAGCTAAATAAAAAAATATCAAAGTGATAACGTTAAATTCTGCCACGAGGCGGATGAAACTCCTGTGCATCTCCTCACCCAGTGCTGCCCTGTAATGGCCACACCCAGAGGACATAAAAACTGTCGGAGCCAGGAAAGTCCTTCAGTTCCTTAATGCTGTTGGTCTTGGCTTTGAACTGTAATTAGTGGTAATCACAATAGATCAGTTAATAATCGCAGTGATGAGAGACCGCATAGGCCCCAAATTAAGCCATCCTAATAATAATGTTAAATCCGTCCCTGTAAAATTTGGTTTAGTGCATGTACACGCCTTTTACCAATACTCCATGCGCGGATTTGCGCTATCCCTGACGATTTGATGGAATGTGACCTTTATGTGGATATAAAAAGCCAAATTCAATTAGCGGACATCTGGCAAGTTGGGGGGTTAAATGTCCTAAGTGACCTGTTGGCGGAGAGCGCTAAAACTCTGTATATTAATCCACAGGGATTAACAATTACAAGGCCGATATTGACAGACAAGTATTACGGGCCTTAAAAAACAAGACGAATAAAAAATGCTTCAATAACAAACGTTTGCATTCAAAACTGTAGAGTGTGCCTTAGAAGAAGTGACATGGTTGAGTAATTGAAGGATTATAAGGTTTCTTCTTGAGAAGTTTAATTTGTAACTGGATAATAAGGTTGTAATTGCATTATAAACTCAGGAGGATGCTGAGACTCTTGGAGGAGCTCTGGTGACCCAACACCTTGCTCCCACTACACGCAAAATAGGCGCCTAAGCGTCGAGTAGTGGATACCAGCCCATTACCTCATGCCAACATACCATATCATTATTATTTTGTTTCACTGTGGTTGGCTCATACTTAACCTTTACTAATTTGTTGTTTTAGAAAATAATTGCTTTAATCTATATTTTTTTCTAACGGCTTTTTCAAATTATTTCTATATTTATCGCATCCTCAATAATAAAAATGAATTTAAAAAATAACTATTTGGGAAACTGACAAAATAAATTTTAAAAAATTACATAGGAACTCTATTAGGGTTATTTGTGGCATATATGTATGGTTAGTGCCACATGAGTCGTTTAGAAAAAAAATGTATCGTCAGTTTAAAAAAAAAAATAAAAAAAAAATTTCAAATTATTTACATGTTTTTTATTTCGAAAATGGACCACTCAATGGAGTTTGTATGCAGAGTGTCTTGCAGAGCGGGCCTCTCCGGACGGCAGTCGCTGCAGCTGGACAAGCTGTCGGACCACGAGATGATCATTGCTTCGCAGCTAGTTGTACCTGATGAGATCACTGTGAGTAATAGGTTTATTTTTAGCAAAGGCAAAAGCTGTATAAAAAATCGGTTTCACATGCAAAATACATAAGTTGCAAATGTTGTTGTTTATGATGTTAATAATATAGTCCTTCGAGGTTGTTACTATTTTAAAAATAACCCCGTATTTTTACATTCGAAAAAATAATTTACCAATGTCACCTATTTTAAATAGTGCTTCTGGGCGCATGTTAATCGTAACAGTGGTTAAGTTTAACATCGTATGAGTAACACATTTCTTAAACTTCTTGAACCTAATAGCGGTTGTAATGAAAATATTTTAAATACATTACGTAAACTGTAAAGTAACACTCAGGTATGCATTCCGTGACAAATTGTTTTCATTGTATGTATTGTGGACTCGACAGTACATCCGTTTAATGCTATAATTATGCTCATAAATTGATATGAATCAATACGTCTAAAAATTATCTATATTTCAAATATTTCTAAAATAAGATTTGCTATGGTACTATAGGACGCGCTTAAAAATCATCATGATCTTGGACTCGACTTCATCTAAAGTCGGGTGTAGGCCTCTCGTAATTTGTACCATCCTCCATGATCTTGTTATGTTTTTACTCTATCTGTCATCACCACGCCTCGCAATGTGCTCAGCCTCGCAATAAGCTCTCAAACTCGAAATATCTTTATTTCTTTGGTAGACAAACAACATTTGAAATCTTCACATTGATAAAAATCTACTACTCATTCAAACTACCTCCGTGGTCGAACGGTTACCATGCTGGCCTATCACGCAGAGGTTTGAAAAAACAAATATACGCGATTTAAATCCGGAAAAACAGTTTCATTTCCTATGTGTAACAATCGCGAAAACCTAAGAACTCGATATCATTTACAATATTTTATTTTAAATATCATATAATATCGAAACAACCTGCAAGCAGATTTACAAACAAATAATATCAACTCATTTATTTCGAGTAATATTCACTCATATTTGTTAGTAAACAACTTAATACTAATATTAAATGAAAATTGTACACGATAGACACTGCGAGGTAAACGCAATTCACAACATTGCCTCATGTACGGACAGTCGAGCCTATCCGCTATCGAGCATAGGATGGGATTGGGGCTGGCCCGCACTTGGCGCACCAGGGACATTCGCTTGCGCAAGTTCGCTTAAGGCGGATCGTCACGGTTTTATGTAATCTAATAGTCACTAGATAATTCGCATTGTAAGACGAAATAATATTTTTTACGATTTTCTCAAAATTGGCAGCCCAAAGTTATAGTTTTATTGTATACGCGATTGGAGGAATTAATGATACATTTAAAGTTTCAATTAGATAAAAAAATAAATTTTCCGCTCGAAACTTAGTTACATACACATACAAAGTTATAATATAGTGTGCTCTTTGTGCAAAGTATGAATACTGAAAGTCTGGAGTTCAAAGCTCAGGTCATCAATCCACTCTTGCTTCTGCGAACATCCCTGACGCACTACAGAAGCGGAGCAGTCCCACCAGCACGCGCTGTGTTATCCTGAGTAAATGAAAATTGTATTAAACTATTCTTATGTGCCATGGGCGATGATGCTATTTGTATACTACCTTTGTATTACAATGTCCCTAGGCGGTAGCTCCTTCAAATAGCCTACCTAATACGCTGGGCTGAATACCGCAAAAAAATTAACCAAATGATTTGTGTTTTCAGGTGAACTGGAAGGATATAGCAGGCCTTGATCACCTGATCCAGGAGCTTCGCGAGACTGTGATCCTACCCATACAGAAGAGGAAATTGTTCGCCGATAGCCGTCTCACACAACCGCCAAAGGGAGTGTTGCTGCACGGTCCTCCAGGTATCTTATACTCTGTTCCTACCATGCATTTATATTTTACGCTAGCGACTGTAAAATTCTTGTGATCGCTAGGGGATATGTCCGGCCCACTGCCATTTTGGCTTACTGATTTCGCGACCTATGTCGGTCACTTTACTTCTCTGACGTATGACCTCATTAGGGATTCCGTCCATCAGGGAAACCCATAAACATAGCTCGTTCCATCCCACGACTTTAAATTTGTGGCTGACGTCTCGACATCAACAGGTGACGGGATATCGAGTGTTTATGTAGAATGTTTAAGGCTTAACTATGTTTTGTTTTATTTATAATTCTATATTCTTTGAATAATAATATATTATTACCTTGATTGCGTTATCTGTAGCCACATTGAGGTCTTTCCTCCAGGTCTTTGGGTGCAAGTTAATTTGGGTAAATTTCTAAAATTGGAAAAATATAATTCGAAGACTTGTGTTCTACGTTTAGATATATCTTTTATGAGTTTTATTTAGCGTGAAAAGTCTAGTTTTCTAAACCCTGCGGGCTTAATTTGCTCAAATTCTCATAACAGACTTAGAGAGAATCTTCAACTTTTGAAGGGTGCTACCGTCCTCTTCCTCCGTCGGTCCCTCACTGCTGAGGATCGTGACTTTGAGGAAATACACCGTCAAACAATCTTCTTCACTGCACTCTGTCTTTGGCTAGGTGGTGGTGCCACTGTCAAATGTGGAAAATATAGGAAAACTACTCAGAAAAAGATTGTTTTCGTAATGGAAATTTTTTCCATGACCCAACACTAGGTGCGAGAAAGTCACCAACACCAAGTACGCATGGACAGTGTTGGAGCATCGCAGTCACATTTTCTTGGACCCATATACAACAAATACGAGCCTTTCAATGATCCAAACTGATATAAATGCGAAAATAGCTCTGTCTGTTTGTTTTCACACATTAACCGCTGGACCAAATTTCGTGAATTTTTTTTTTTTAATATTTTCCTCTTTTCAGGCTGCGGCAAAACGCTGATCGCAAAAGCGACAGCAAAGGAAGCCAACATGTCATTCATAAACTTGGATGTGAGTCTATTGACGGACAAGTGGTATGGTGAGACGCAGAAGCTGGCTGCGGCCGTCTTTAGCCTCGCCGTTAAGCTGCAACCTTGCATCGTTTTTATTGGTACGCCTCTAAATCATATTTTTTACGCCGACACCGATTCGCCATTGAAGAGCAGCTCCCTTAGTATGCCGCCTCGATAAAGCTATTATATCCACATTTGGCTGCCAAATTAAATGATAAACATTTTAACAGATAAAAATTTTAAAATTTTATCACAATAGCAAACATGACAAGCACCGTGACGTCACATCTTTATGTCGTCGCGTGCTCCGGCGACCAATTAATGCAAAAGGTTAACACAGTACCAAATATGGCTGCAAGGTCACAACTGATTTTAAAACATTTGCACAGTAATTTTATCGACGTAAAAATTGAGCTCGACAAACGAGATGATAAGACATTTTTTGTTTCATGGTTTTCGCGGTGATGATTAAACGACAAAGAAGGCTATACGCAATTTCATATTGTTGTCCTTGTTCTCCAAAATATTTAACAATAGTTCGTTACGAAATAAGCAAACTTAGATTTATCAACTGAATTAAATATAGTCACGGGGAGGTTAATCACACATACTCTGCCATGCTACGGCTACAGAATACCAAAAATTGCAATGGCAGTTGAATATTAGCTCGATGTCTAACTACTGTTAAACCCTTTAACTTTTAGCAGAATGCCAAATGTACAAAATCCTGCCATTGACATTCTATCGAGATACAACTGACATGATTTAACATTAGTAGATTTGGACCCAGCCAAGGGAGTCTACACTCGTTCTCTGACTTCCGAAACAACAAACGTCGTATAAATAAAACAAGACCAAATTAGAAAACAATGTCAAGCATGAAGCTTTATTCGCATCATGGATCTTTTAATTTGTGTCGCGAATCACGCGATAATCAATCATTTGGTGAGTAAACGAACTTCACCCATTTTTTGTATTGTGGTAACACTGCTTTGCCTTTGTTAACTTGTTATTTTTGACACTATCGAGACGGCAGTAACGTCAACGGCAATGGCGGGAACCGAGTGCACTTCAGTTTGGTTAAAACTAAAGATATGGCTGTGTAAGTGAATGTACCCTAAGAGACAAACAACTGGTAACTTCCTCTGTGTATTGTTTAACATTACGACATGCATAGACACGGTGGAAAGAAACGTGCTGACTCGACCCGCAATAGAGTAGCCTCATTGACGCTTATGACTGTGGGTGCCTATCGTTGACATCAATCGGGTCGGTAGTAGCTGGCATGTACGCTTGCACCGCGATTAATAGCTTTCGAAGCTTGAAACCTGTTGGACTAAAGGGAAGGCTGGAGGTCCACTCGGGACTCGGGGTCCACACACATAAATCCAATAAACTACAAAGTGGCGACAATTTGGTTGAGTATTACTTATTTGACAGTAATTGTTTCGGACTGTATGTCGGGCGGAGAACGAAGTAGGAAGAACGAAGGAGTACGGGACCCCGATTTAGAACTCATCGATATCTTAACCGAACCGTTCGATTGGATGTCGTTCTCGAATCGTAGGGTGCTTTCCGAGCTATTCAGAACATTCGAGTTAAAACGTTCGATTCGGATTCGGATACGATATCTTTATCCAACAACGTTTATGGAGTTAGTCGGCGAATATAGATTATAAGAAAAATGAAATCCTTTTATATACATTTTTAAGACTTTAAAGGCCTAAAATAAAGGAATGCATTAGTCTCGCGTTAAAATAAATTAATAAAATTGAACAAAATCCAGATTTTATTTAAATAATAAAAGATTTTCTTATTACATTCTTGCTTTGTAAACAAAAGGACGTTCGGTAACTTTCATTTGATAACTGCGTTCTGAATAACGTTTGTAGCCTTTGCCGGTCGAGAAGTTCCAGTAATCGTACGGGTGTGACGTGTAATTTCGGTTCGGTTTCGAATACGACAGTTTGACGTTCGATTATTGTGAATAGAAATTAAAATAAATCGTACGATATCTAATCGGATCGGTCGACAACTGAGTTATCGTAAGGTTCTGAATCGACCTGCAGGAGCTGATATGACCACCAAAAGATCTATACTTTTTGTAACAATAGAGAATAGTAAAGGACTGATTTGCAGACGAGATCGAGTCGTTCCTGCGCACGCGCACGCAGCATGACCACGAGGCCACGGCCATGATGAAGACGCAATTCATGTCGCTGTGGGACGGACTCATTACGGACCCTACCTGCACCGTCATCATTATGGGTACGTGGTTCTGGCATTTTGTATGAGAAATCATTTTATTAAAGACCAACTTCGGCTGTTCCGTTTTTTTTTCATCCCATACAATGAAATCACGTTATAAGAAGTTGAGTCACTTCAAAAAAATTGATCAATTTTATTTATTTTTATGAACAACTCACGCTTGATCAAAAAATTGACTATGCCAAAATTGTTTTCACAAGAAAGACTTGATGGTTCTTAGAACAGTTTCGTTATATTTTCTGTGGTTTCGGATTTCCTCATACCGTTATATTTAAAAAAACACTCTGTGTATAGTGCTTTTCTCAAACAATGCGAGGAAGTAATAAAAGACTAAAAAGAGAAAGATGTTTAAAAGAAATAGTACATTACCGCAGAGGCCGGGAAGTAAAGGATTGATGGACGAGTATTAGTTATAAGGTCGAGCGCCAGCGAATCAAGCAATCCACGTTCCCGCCGAGGCTTGTATAGTGCTTTTCTCAAACAATGTGAGGAAGTAATAAAAGACTAAAGAGAGGAAAATGTATAACGAAAAAAAGTAAAAGACATTAAGTAATATTTGACATGTTAGGACAATTTGCTAAAAGAAAATGTTGTTTTTTTTTAAGGCACATATATCAGTAGTCTATAGTCTGTCGAACTTCTGATGATGTAATTCATGTGGTTCTACAGTGCATGAAAGTTTCATAAGTTTTCATGTATCTATCTTACTTTGTTTATACCCAGCAACAAGTTTCCCATGGCTAATATTATATATTATATATTATTATATATTACCTCTCGTTTTAAATTAGGCGGAGCACAAACAATTACTGTATTTCCGTTATAGCTCTTCTTACTAGAACTCGTTTTTCGACGAAAATATAAAAAAGACGAAAAAGAAAAGAATACCAAAATTTTTTTTTTATTTTACCGCCTTTTTCTTTTTTTTTTAATTAACCAGAACAGGTAGATATTTTTAATTCTCGCAATTACGAACACCAGTTGGCTGTACGACTTTTTCTTTTGCCTGTTTACATAGTTTATTAGTAGTAGATAAATTTAAAAGTTTAGAGCAGCGGACAGTAATGGATTTTCATACTTACGTCGAGGAAGTCGTACGGGTCATAAATGACACTTTCCGTATTCGTTTTGTGAAAAAATCACTTGAGGTTTATCGCAGTTGCATACGGTTTATGAGGATTGGAGGGACCCGTTTGACTGATTTAGGTGGTTTCTACTTGCATATTGTACAAAGCGTGAGTTTGGTTTGTGTATGTGGGGACAGGCGCCACGAACCGGCCGCAGGACCTGGACAAGGCCATCCAGCGGCGCATGCCGTCCACCTTCCACGTGCCCATGCCGAACGCCGCGCAGCGCGAGCGCATCCTGCAGCTCATCCTGAAGGCCGAGCCCATCGCCAACGACGTACGTCCTTCCAACACCTCCCTTAGCTGTTTCTATAGCCTATTCAAAGGACAGGCACATGGGGCTTGTCAACTTATGTCTCAGGGTGCCACTCAGATCTTTGACAATTAAAGACTCAGTGGCACTGAAACTGTCATGGACAGGCGTGTCGCTTACCACCAGGCGCACGACTTGTTCGTCCTGTCACTTGATATTAGACTAAAAATATGTAGAATATGTAATAATTAATGGCGGAGGGGAGGACGAATGTTTATGTCGTCACGTTTAGCATCAAGTTCAGTTTTACGCTGCTCTTCACAATCCCCCGCCATTCAGAACACAGTGCTGCCAAATCTTTTCATTGAGACGGCTCAATGTTGCATCTTCTCATATCACTGCTTTTCAGAAACAGTGACCCAGCCCTACATAGTTCCTTTTTTGACTTATTATTGAGTTTTGTTCAGAAACTCCTAAAATTTCATTGGTTAAAATAATTGCATAGTAACCTGGAGCTGGTCTACGATATGTCAAATTTGCGCGGTAGATACGTTTATTCGGGTATTCCTGATAAAATATATGATAGTTTCCCAAAGTGGTCCCTATCGTCCCCCCAGTGGTAAGGTACAACTGAGGTAGGAGTACTCGAAATGTCAGAAATCGTAAAAACGTTTTGCCATGCATTTTGTAGGGACATATTTAGTAATCAGTTTTATTCTAGGTAGTTAAGAAAACTAACAAATTAGTCGAAAATCGAAAAGAATTAAGTAAAAACAAATTATAATCATAACATTATTTTTTAAATTTCGAACAGCTTTGTTTTGTTAATAGAGAATTGTCACTTTTTATACGATTTTTAATCAAAATGTGGAAACAAATGAATTGGAGTAAAATTGCAGCCGCTACTTGCTCTTTGCGGAAGAGAGCGAATCGATCATAGATTTTTTATGTTATTTTTTGCTTTTCGTTATTGTTTTTATTTTGAAATACATAATACGTATACAATTTGTTAATTTCCTTAACTACCTAGAATAGCTGATGACTAGATATGTCCCTACAAAATGTACGGTAAAAAGTTTTTTGCGATTTCTGACATTTCGAGTACTCTTACCTCAATTGGTCCCATAGAGACTATTGGTCCTTACCAGAGACCGGATCGAATGGCATAAAAAAAGTTTTGTACAAATTGCCTTTTATCTTGCTGACTGTACCATTTTTTGAAAATCTGTGAATGCCAATCAAAATATCTTCAAAATTCAAGGACAGTCTTCTCGAACCGTTTTCCTGTAACTACAACGATTAAAGTATCTGGCCTTGCTGCCCCGTCTCAAATTTACACCCTGATATATGATGATATATGTATATATATCATCATAATCAATGACATAAGTGGAGTTACATCAAAAACGTTTATTGCTGAACTAGAAACAAACTATAAACATTTTTCACGTAACTCCACTTATGCCATTCTTCCCCTTTTCCCTTCCCCTGGTTAGGTTAGCCATTATTGTTATTACGAAATATTTTCTGAAAATTTTGTCTATAGTGGTGGTGTGCGTTTCCCGCAGATCGACTTCGGGCGGCTGGCGATGGCCACGGAGGGCTTCTCGGGCTCCGACCTGCACGAACTGTGCCGGCAGGCTGCTGTCTACCGCGTGCGCGACATGGCGCGCGCCGAGATCGCCCGGCAGGCCGACGGCGAAGACGTACGTACGCCACCTATTTCAGCCGCCAAACAGTAATGTGAGCATTACTGCGTTCCGGTTTTGAAGGGTGCTGGTGAAATTACAGGCACATGGGACTTGTCAACTTTATGTGTTAGGGTGACGGGCGCAGTGGCAGTGCCCCTCAAATCTTTGCGATTTAAAGCTCTGAGTGGCACTGCAACTGTTATGGACAGGCGTGTAACTTACCATCAGGCACACGATTTGTTCCGTCACTTGAAATCATCAAAAAAAGTCCCACTTCTGGGCTCGGGTCTTCTCTCAGGTGTGGATTTAGGCCATAATTCGTCACTCTGGCCCAAAGCCGTTTGGGGACTTCGCATGGTTTCCGAGAGTTGTGAATAGAATACATTTATTTGCTAGAATGCAGTAATTACATAGGTCTTAAGTAAAATAAGGTATATTGTATTCAACCTGCAAGCAGATGTGAAAATATTAATAGTATTTAATGTTTAGGTGTCTATAGTTTCAAATTAATGTAATGAATTTGTAAACTAAGTATTCTTTATTACTGTAGAAGCAATGTGTCAGAAGCCATTTTGGCAATTCTTATTTAAAAATATGTCCTTGTAATAATTTAATTTCGTTTGGTAATTTATTGTAAATAATTATACACATGTTAATGCAGTTATTCTTATATATCGACTGTGAACTGGCAACCGGTACTATCTCAAGAAATTTCATCTCAGATACATTTAATTTTGGCGCCAGAATCGACTTCATTCAACTTGTACTAACTTCTAGCCAGATGCCATATAAATGATGCAAGCAATTCTTTACTTCATCCAGTAAAATTATCAAAATTGAGATGGTATCGGTTGCCAGTTCACAGTCGATGTTACTTTATAGCAACGAGGTTGTTATAAAAAATCATAAGTTTTGCTCTATTTTGCCTTTGAATTACTTCACCACGTGTTTAAAAATATTGTGGACCTTCGACGTGCATATTTCGTTCCAGTGTTTTCTTGTTGTAAATTTTAAATTAAATTTCTAACATACATTTTTTCTGCTACACTGCTCGAATCCAGGTTTATTTGTTTATCAAAGAAGAACCAACAGCGCACATTTCAAACTTAAATTCAATTTAGAACAACAACATTTAAATTCTATGGCTCTGATATGCATAGTACAGGGAATTCCCTAATTTGAGACTAGGCAATTCAAGTCAAATCACAGTCAAAGAATCATTTATCCCATAGATAAAATAAATTTACATTTGACAAGGTCACATTTAAGCTATACTGCTCGTTCACTACGCTGACTTCCCCGAGAAGAACGCGCAAGAAACTAGGGATTGCTATTTTCAAATAAACTTAAATGCTTTGAATCAAATTTGTGTGTGATCTGGAACCATGTCGTCTTTTCGTACATCTTTATCTAACACGTAGTCTTCAATTTTGTAATATAACTTTTCAATCAAAATATTTTTAATGTAGTTTTCAAACTTAGGAAAGGATAATACATGCTCCGGAATCTTATTGTAAAAACGTATACAGTTCCCCATAAAAGAGTCGTTTACCTCGGTTAAACGAAATCGAGGTACCGTGAATTTAGACTTAGCTCTAAGGTTAATATTATGAATATCTTCTTTATAAAATATTTGAGTAAATGTACTGTGATACCACAGTCATGATACCAGTCTCCTTAAACTTTTCTCTGAGCGTAACCCGATGGAACTAAACGATACATAGAACTAATCGCTCGTTTTTGCAATACAAATATGGTTTGAATGTCTGCATTGATGTGATATGAATTGATGCTATTGTCGGGCACATTACATTATTTTACATCATCAATTTACAAGGTTATTTGTAAAATATTAACAACCTCGTATTACTCACATCAGAAACAACAATTCTCGTTCCATGACTTCCAATAATGTATCAGATTTTTAATACCCAAGCCCATACAACAATTACGAAAATTCCAGAACGCAAATGACGACACCAATCAATCGGATTCCGACGAGGAGTTCGTGGACGCAATCCGACCAATCACGATGGAAGATCTGCGCATGTCATTGGCCAAACTGAAAGAGGCGAAAATACAGTGCGGTTCGCTCGCGCCCTCTATGAGGTTAGACCTCGACTAAAGTAGCTACGTAGCCACAGACGATGTAGGTGAGTACACTTATACTTAGCTGTAACAATAGTTAGATTTCTAGGAAAAGTTTTCTCATCAATATCATCACCATTATTGAGTATATAACCATAAATAGAGACGAAATGTCGTTTAATTTGTTTAAAAACTATTCTGCCAAATAATTACTGTGAAAACTGCGCTCGAATTCGAAAGAATTGACGGGTGTCGTCAATTGTTACACTTCAACTCAATCAGTTTAACTTGAGCTTTGCTATAATGCACGAAAATTGCAAAATTACATATTTATTATTTAATTACCGATGACATGCGATTCCACTTGTTTTGTAATTAGATGTTTTGCTGTTTTTCCAACACCACTGAATGGAACAGCCCCCATTGTTAGAGATATTTTCTTTATTACAATAAATACGGAATATTTTTGGAATATATGGAGACGTACACAGGTCAGTTGTTGGCGCTGTATTATTTCAGCTTTCTAATTTGTGATTTCAGCGCAAACGAGAGTTGATATTTAAAAGTGTTATATGGCCCATTTACCAGATGAGTTGCCAGGGATGGACGGCCCTTATTTCGTCTTTATTTCTGGTTATATACTCGATGATCATCATCAACTGGAACCAACCAATTTTGAAAACCCGAGTTTTCGGGTCATAGTATAGTCAGAACCCGGGTAGACCGGGTTTTTCGAGCTTTTCGATATTTTTGTTATATTAAAAAAAAAGAAATTGTGTTTCTATTCTGATCTTCAATGGAACAAAGGATGAGGAGAGGAAGGATTATCATAAATAAAAGAGGACTTTACAAAATACAAGACACTTTATAAAGTCTTAAAGAAATTCAATTTTACGCATTGCTTGTTTTCTTGGTTGTTTGGTAGGGAAGAAACGTAGCAACTACGCTTCTTTACACGTAATTATTTATTTACACGTGTTTTTATTACGTTTATTATTGTATTCCAAGTGGTTTATACATAATAAATACCAAAAAAAAAATAAGTAAAATACTCGAAAAACCCGGGTTTTTAAAAATAAAACCCGAGTTTCTTTGTAACCATCAGAACTGAGAAAAACCGGATTTTCCCGGACCGGGTAAATCCCGGCTCGATGCCCTAAACGTAATGATCGAGTGAGGTCGTATCGCGTCGAGTATGATCATAACATAAGATGATAACGCGGACGAATGCAATGTTGGGCATTGTAGACAATCGGAGTGAGGAGATGTCCAGCACAGGTCTCTTGTAGGCGAGGGTTCAGGCCACGCTGATCCAATGCGGCTTGGGAACTTCGGTTGGTTAATCTTAGGTCTTCTTCGAAGTGCAGGTTTAATCTTGACGGTTTCAGCTCCAGCTATTCGCTCATAGAACATTTCAAATTAATTGTCGTTCATAAAGTCAGAGGTACGAATTCGGATTCGAATCCATGACCTCTGTTTGAGAGACAATAGGTCAAACCATAATATCGTCGCATTACTTTTTCAAACTCGTATTTTAAAGCACAAAGTTACTGATTTCACATCACATTTCCTTCATATTCACACTTGGTACTTGGTACTTGGTGCAACGGGCTGGTATCCGCAACTCGACGACAAAGCGCCTATTTTTTTCATATTCACACATTGACTTACAAATAAATGGACGACGGGTTTAATACAAAAACCACGAAAAAAATGTCCCAAGTCAACCTATTTAAACGTAGTGACATGTAAAGGAATATGAAAAAGCTAAAACGTTGAATTTAAATTGTAATGTCATCGCAGTACTGTCTAATTTTGCTTGCTTCGCTGTCAGTCGAACAAACGAAGACTAAAGCGTGAATGACGCTCTGTATACGATTTTAACGCCCTATAAGTTCGGACATTTTTTAGCGCGGACCCGACGTCTATATATTGTAAGTCAATGTATTCACACACTGGATTTCATCTATTCTTAAAATAATGTATCCAAATTAACACCCTTGATAAGAAATTTAAAATAAATAGAAAGTTTTGTCAACTCCCGAATAATCACTCTTTATAAGATACGAGTTTGAGAAAGAAAGGCGACGATACGGTTACCATGGCTAAGTTTTTTTTATTAATATTAATTTTAGATTTTATAAATTGGTTAGCGCTGTGGGCGCCGAATGAGGAGCTTCTATGAAATAGGCTTTGGTTTGGGTGTTCCGGGTTGAATTTCGTCGCTTTTACTTATATTTCAGCGGATTTCCTAATTTGAGACTAGTAATTAATATGATTATTTAGCACAACATGTATTAGTACTTTGCAATATATGAAAGTTATACATTATACTCCGTCCAACCATTTATATATATTGACATACAACCATAGACAAAAAATGCGGTATTACTTGGACTCTTTTATTTTTTAATTTTAGGGAACCGACGTGCTCTTTAGCTCCGATGTTTATCGTGCCAACAGATTATGCAACGAAGATTATTCAAGTTGATAAATTTTGTTAGCTATCTAATAAATTATAATGAAATTAAGTAAATTATAAATAATTATAACAAATTCTTATTGTTTACTATATAATGAATCTTCAGATTATTCTCCATATGAACGGGAATCATCACTTGAATCCTCATTAACATGAATTATGAATTTTTGAATAGACAAAAAGAACCCGCTCACATTCACGATTAAAACTTTTTCATGAATAAAATCGATTGTTACAAAAAATCGAATTGTAAACGCATTAGGACATCACTAATGGATTAAAATTCAAGCTGTCAAAAGTTAAATGGTTGGACGGAGTATAGCTAGAGATTATAAGACTAAAGGATGTTTTGGCGAGTTTCAGTGTTGCCTTTTTAAATTGAGTATGATTTGTTTTTTTATTACAAAATTCATAACATGTATCATTGGAGAGAAGATTCATTATTTTTTATACTTATACAATATAATATAGTTATATATTTATATATAGTCGGATTTTAAATAACAGACAGAGCAAACTGTCAGGTGTAAATGTCACTTTGAAAAATATAGTTGCCATGTTTATTGTATAGCAAGGTTCAATGTATGCCTTCATAATTTTCTTGACGTGCATAAAATTAATTAACAAAATGCTACCGCTAGAGTTTGGCCAACGAAAGCTGGCACAACGTATTTTTTACAAAATCTTATTACGGCAACACTATATATCAGTCAACAAAATAAGCGCACTGCTTAGCACGAACCCGAAAACAAAAAAATCTTCAATATGATATCTGATAAGTTAGATTGTTCTTTGATGTGAAAACTTAATCGAAGGACAAAATCACTATTAATTATTATTGTAGCGAACCGCAAAAGTATATAAAATTTGGCCGTCGTGCTACGGTTAGAGACAAATTTTCTTCATTTGACATATGTATGCGCTGCAACTTAAACCTCATAGCGCTTATGCTTGCCTGTATAGACGGTTAGACATAATTCGTAGTGACGTCTTTTTCGAGAGAAAATTGACAGTTCGAAGAAAGATAACTTTTATCTTCGGGCTCATGCTACCTGGCTGTTTACCGGACTGCTTAGTTTTGCAAGCACAATATTTTTTATTATTTTTTTGTGCCAGCTTTCGTTGCCCAGACTCTAGCAACCAACGACAAACCAAAACATTTACTCGAAAGATTTTTCTTCGTTCATTTAGTTTTCTCACTGTTAGTCATTTTTAGTAAAAAATTACAAAATTAAAACTATGAATTAACCAGGATAATTATCGGATATATATCGCATAATTATCAGATATACTTCGTTTCAATCCACTTTAAACAAACAGTAAATAAACAAGTCACTGAACCGATCATAGACGGTTTAGTGATGTCCGATTGTAATGCCAACTACAAACCGTTTAATTAATTGAATGAATCGATTTGTTTAATTGAGTCACGCTAGCGGTTTTCCTTACATAACCTATAAAAGCTCTGGGTCTTTTGGAGGGAATTTTGTGAAATCTAGTTTAAAGTGGAATAGGATAGTGCTATTGTGCCTTAATCGAAGATTAAATGCGAAATTATACGAATCTCGAACTAAAATACCCGTATCGGCCCGTTCTAAGGAATCCCGAGTCAATCCAACCACGCCGCCTCAAATTGCCTATCCTGTTTGTGGCGGTCATATTTATAGAATCATAATTAAATGAAGACATGGCTCAAAGGACTTGTATCCAATCCAAAATGGTTAATAAAAAAAAACCTATAAAAACATATTTAAAATATCCAAAATTCTAATTTTAAATCCTCTTTCAAATCCTTGCATTTAGACACTCGTTCGATTGCGATTGAAATTTCCGATTTACTAATCGATTAAAAAAATTGAATGAACCGAACGTTTTTTTCGTCTTGCACCATGAATCCATAGACAAGTCATAGTTGTATAGTTAAAAAATAACCTCTATTTTGGAGTACCATTTTTCAAATACGATTTTACGATGCTATTTAAATGAATATTGTTGTAAAAAGTGATGAGATATCAAGTCGAAATCTTGGAAATATACGTGAAAGTGTTACTTATTAGATTTATTGAGTAATCTCTTTAGACTTGTAACCAGACAGTTCTGTTTACTTTTTGTTTAAAATGGGTTGGAACAGACTACAATTATCAATGACGATAAATTAACAAAGATAATATATATTTTGACAATTTCGAACACTGTTCTATAGTAATGTGTTTGGTTTAGTTCCCAATAAATTCACTGAATCGGATTGTCGGTCACGTTATTGTTATGATTACCTTCCAGTTTCCCACTGCACATAGACGTGGGCCACCCGTACCTGCGGCCGGACGTGCTGACCGCAGTGCTGCGCGCTCTCGTCCGCCCCTTCTCATCGGACCACCCGCACACTTAATATATCATGCTATGTCTATATTGTAATTAATCATTCACGTAAGTGCCGTGACGGTGGTGACACAGTTAATTAACGTCAATAAAGGTGTTCCCTCATCTGGATTCAAGAAAAAATATATTCTTTAAGACCTAGAAGTTCACGCTAAACAGCAAATGTGTGTGACGTTAGTAGACAGTGCAACAACCGTCGCTTGCTTCAAAATGGAGTGATTTTCTGAATTCGGCCACATAAAGAATCAAGGTTTTCAAATGCTGCGTACACGCCGCCACCAGTCAAATCTTAAAGTGAACACGGCGCATAAAAATGGAAATCGTCTACGTAACGCCTAAAGGCTGTCTACACATTGAATTTCGCTATGAATAAATTCATACAAGCCAAGTATATGTGTGTGCTGTGTACAAAAAAAAGCGTCCAACAAACAGAATATATTAGTATGCGCACGCGACTTTTCTTGATGGCGTTTGCAATGTGTTTTGACTGGCCACGTACGAGCGTAATACGCAAGCACATTTTTCATTATTGTCACTAGCCTAGGGGACTATACCTCATCTAACTTCAGAAATGTGTTATCATGAAGCCAACCTGAAAACGAGCGGTGTAAATACAGCCGAAACGCCATCTCTTTTTGTTTTTATTTTGTAACTTGTTATTGTTTATATTGTTAGCATTGGGTGCTGACTCTGCTCATGATATGTAACGTTTTAAAAATGCAAATACTTACGAGGACACCATGTGTGCATATAAGTACGTTACCATAGAGTGTTTTTTCTATATTTTTTTTGTAAATATTCTCAGTTGTTATTATCGATTTGTATTTATTCGTACATTTTTTTGCATATTTATATTGTTGCATTAATATAGAAAAAAATACAAATGTTTTGTAGAATGTAGATAAATGGTGACTATGTGATGGAAAAATGTGTTGTATTTGTCCGATGAAACTTAGTTCTTAAGGGTCAATTCACACTCGTATGTGCTGATCAGTTTGGCTCTAAAATGGGCTTTTGAACTGACATGGACAGCAAAAAGCTTGACAACAAAACTTGTTTGCAATGTATAACTGAGGTTTTATCGGACTGTAGTTATAAGGTATAGCGATTTGGGGCAAAATGAGCTAGTATTAAAATTAATTTATTGCACCATAACGTCATGATGTGTCGGTAGAACGAAGCATTCTTGGTTAAAGAACTTGGTGGGAATAGTTTAGTAGTTAATACCTACACACTGTTAAGTGGGATATGTAGAGCAGGCAGAACAAGTTTGTGGACTTCTTTGGCACTTTTTAATATTCAGTTTTTTTCATTTTTCATATGAGCCACTGGCCACATATACCATGAGTGTATAGATCGGAGTATAATAATATTTAAATAAATACAAGAAAGAAATACAACAAAGAAATACATTTGCATCATTTCTCCTTTACAAAACTTATACTTTAGACCTATTTCATTGTCAGTTTTAAACATAGCTGAGGGTTGAGATACATATACTGTAACTTTATTATACAAGAAGAAGAAGCGCCAAAAGCATGACATTGTTTTTCATACAACCACTACGTTTCTTATAATTTTTACACAGCGCTCGAATAAATTTTGAAATCTTTAATATTTGAGTAAAAGTTGTTGTTGTGTTGTTGTAAAGAATTCTTTCGGAATTTCGCAATGTTCTAGGAAGTAAATTTACTTTTATGCACGTATATTTTGCCCCAAAAAGCGAATAAAATATTTACTACTCATGCGTACAAACTGTCAGTTTTGTTTACTGTAAATTTAAACACCAAGTGAACGACGTAATATATAATTAATACAACGATCGAACACAAAGAAAAATTCTTTCGATCCGACTGGATTCGAACCCTTCGCCATCACCATATTGTGGCTGACGCTCTCGCAACTGGGTTACAGAATGAACCAGTAGACTTAATGTATAAATTACAACAAAGAATTTTGACAGTTTGTATCGTTCTAGAAGCGGCTCGCCGTACATGTAAACATGTTGTAAACAATTTTAACAAAATTTTATGGAGTCCAAAGTTTAAATGAGTTAAGAATGCCTTACGGCTGAATCGGCATACCTGAATCTTTTAAAAGTATATTAATATGTTGGTTGACAGTATTTAAAAGTTTACGTTGGATGGTTTGAATTCTTTATACAGAGTTTATAGAAGTGTTGAAAATCTTTACATTAAGAATGGCTAAATAAAGATCGTATTTTGCTGAATTAGAAAAAATAACAAATTAATTTCTTCATACAATGTTATAGCTAGACCGTATTTGTTATACACGCTGTTAATTAAATTGCGTTAGAGCCGGTTCATACTTGTGTGGTTGAATCGTTTTTCTGAATGATTTTCAGTGGCGAACATACGAGTGATTTCACACCATACAGTAAAACCGTATACGATGAAAAAAACCGATTAGTTTATTTTCGTTGACGTATATTGTCACTGGAAACCGTGAACGACACACGATAAAAAGCCAGATAGGTCGCAGCGGCAATCACACGGTTCGGTTTTATGTACTATGTCACTAAGGGAGGGGTCGCGATTCTGACATGAGGGTTAAAAAGTGACCTAGATTTTAACGCCGTGATAGAATAGGATGCCGCCAAACATCGTCGTCCATCTTCCAAAAGTTTTCACCGTATGAGAACACTGATTCACAAAACGTATAAATGTATTCACATGCGTCTTTTTAACGTATACGACAAATAAGAAAATTGAATCGGACAAACCGCATAAGTGTGAACTAGCCTTTACACCCAAAAAAGGGGAGAAATATCTTTCATCTTGTTCTATGGGACTACTAAAAAATCGCCAGAAATATCCACTGTTCTCTATATATTTTGGTTAAGTGGGTATGCACATCTCTATGTTAAAGGCACGGGCATAATAAGTGACTTGGGTGTATTGCGATTTAATGAACAGCCTGTATAAAAGGGGTCGTGAATAACTTAAAGATAATTAAAAATGTTACGCATAATTAATCACTACATAAGTCGTTTAGATACTGTACTTTATTCTTATACTTAATAGACCAATTTTACTGTTACATGGCTATAGAACAAACTAACACTACTATGTTGAAATACAATATCAGTTACTATGGTACGCTTGTGTTACAAGTTTGGCAAATCTCAGGGTGTGTAATAGATCTTTGGAGATAAGTGCAAATTGAGATTTAGGGGAGTTTGAATGCCATATGTCATTCCTAATGTTACCTTCAGATGGCGACGTTGGTCACTTGGGCAGTAGGGTTACCATCCGAAATTTGAATAGTCCGGACAAAAAGCCTGACATTTTTAGTTGTAAAATAAAATCGAAAACCTCATCAAAATTTTTGTCGTAAATCGAGTTTACAGAATTGGATGGAGGTAAATATTTTACTTTTTTGTTCTGAAAATTGTTATCCTAAACCGATAAATCCGGATAAAGCTGTTCAGTAAGCTGTTCAGCTTTAACATGTCCGGGCAATTCCGGACGGATGGTAACCCCGCTTCCACGATGATCTTATAGTGCTTTTACGATTTCACATCGTGTGAATGAAAATGGTGTTTCCTCCTAGTAGGCTGACTTCGTAAGACGAAAGGCAGTACTGTTGTATTAATGCTGTTTTTCTGTCTGGACGTTGCCTTTTAAACAAGTTTCTTCTAATTATCTGACAGCTGGAACTATAGAGTATCTGCAAACCCTGATCAGTGATTGCATTTTAAAGATTTTCTGTACCATGAACTCTGTAGAAAACAAGATGAAATGTTATAAAAAAAAGGATGTATTTATTCTAGAAGTGTCTATTGTAAATGTTGCTTCTTGTAGATTGTTAGAATTGTCTTCTTTACACAATAAAATATCAGACTTGGTACTGAACATAACGATTGTGGCAATAATTTTAATGTTGGCAAGTCAACAGAGACTTTTGATCATTAGGAATCCGAGAAGTGTGCGGATTCTGATAGCGTCATTTGATATGAGTACAGGGTTATTGTATAGTACTTACGATGTGTGAATGTATTGTAAAGAAAATTACAGTGATGTTATCAGTAGTAAATGCTGATTTATAATTCATTGGTCTTGGTTGTGATAAGCTGTACCAATTAGAACTATCTTTGTTGACTTGTCAATCTAATTGTAATTAACTTCGAATAACATTAAATGCTTTTTGCATATCATTTAAATTATTACATTTACGAGCACTATGCTGCTTCCTTGATCATAGTCAACGTGGTCGATATTTTTAGCAAAATTGAGTTATTAAACCATATATAACCTGTCGCACCGCTTATGGAAGAATAGCGTAAGTGGAGTTACGTCAAAAACGTTTATTGCTCCATTAGATACAGAAAAATATAACCCACTAACAAATATATCTCCATCTACATTAGTCGATAGAGTTACAAGAATTGGAGAGGATGTGGGTTATATTTTTCTGTATCTAATGGAGCAATAAACATTTTTAACGTAACTCCACTTATGCCATTCTTCCATGAGGGTTGCGATGTATGGGTTCAGCGAAACTAAGAAATCTAGAACATTCACTTTTATGCGAGAATTTTTCTTGCGTTGGCTGGGTACATGGCGTAGTAATCTGCCTTCCGCGCAAAGGCGTTCACGAGTCTTTAGCTTTGCCTTGCGAAAAGACTTGCGCGCATGCGCGGCGCCTTGCCTTTGATTTGGTAGTAGTGGACGCATGGACGCTGTTGCTCTGTAATTGGCCAGTGGTGCTGTTCTCCGCAAACGTTCCCTGTTGCTTGCGTGAAAATATCAAGCTAGCTAGATATCTATCTCACACAACGCAAAGCAAGCACCCGGTGCAATTATAATTATTAATGCAAAAATCGAACACAAAAATTCTTTCAAGCCGACAGGACTCTTACCTGCCTCCTCGGAATACCGTCTTGTCGCTCTTCCAACTGAGCTACAGGTCGAGTTTGCAGGTCGACGATTGTGTTCTATGTGTCTGGGGGGTCTACTCTCGGATCTTCGTCGGACATCCGAAACAATTAGCCAAATAAGCAATACTTGACCAAATGAAAAGACGCGTGATGCGAATGAAGCTTCATACTTGATACTGTCTTTTAATTTTGTCGAA